TACATTTTCAAGATTTAAATTTTTAATGTAAAATGGACCGATAAACAAATGGCAATATGTTTTGGGCCAAAATATTTTCAATAAATATTGGGTGGGGAATAGGAACTTCGAGACTCCTTTTGAGCTCCAAACTAATTTTGTCATGTGTAAGAAGATTTCTTGGTCCTTAATAAAAGCTCACTAAATGATCCAACTAGCCAACCTGCTTCCATATACATACACTTTTTTTGGCAAAAGGAGATTCCCTATATATGCATACATCTGTACCTATACTGCATAAGCAAGGAACTCTTTTCTACCTAAGTTACTTAGTTTCCAAAAAAAAAAAAAAAAAAAAACTTAGCACAAAGGCTTTCAAGACATTATGTTGGTAATAAGTTAATTATCTCATCCCTCTAGATAAAGTTTGTTGTCCAATAAAAAATAAAACCTAATTTAGCCTCTTAAATCAAATTAGAAAACCCAACATAAATGGTTCAAGACTTATCACTTGGATAATGTGCCTCAAACAAAATGCATGCATATAGTTCCCTCATACTGAGTACATGGTCATTAGCCAGTCTTCCATTTATGGTCAAGTTTCAGAACAAAAAGCTTTAGCCCTTGCCGTGGATGAGGAGTGAAGAAATGGCCAAGGGTAAGCATCCTTTGCCTGATGACTCTGATCAACAGTTTAGATTTACCAATATCATCTCTTAATATGGCAGAATAGGGTAGAACAATAGACCAGCTAGAAAAGAAGCCAATGTTACCTTGGCACATGGCATGGGTATTGAACATTAAGGTATGGTTTCCATTTAAGAAACCATACTAAATCTAACCTGACCTTTGTTGGGTTCCATTTAAGAAAGAATCTCCTTGGTCTTGAACTTGAGAACCTTAAGGTTAATCCAGGGATTCGCTCAGGAATCAAATGCCAGATCTGTTCCTGTGATGGAATGTATGGTTTCTTTGTTCCTATCACTGCTATATTAACAGGAACCCAGATCAGTAATGTCTAAACAAGATAGTTAGCATCAATAGTCAGTTCTGACTCAGTGGTGGTGGCACCATAATTGCATATGCTGGCAATGATAAAAAGTCATTCTAATTGCAAATTGCCATCAAAGCAAAAAATTTCAGACAGCTAACCTTTTTGTCTAATGCATCATTAGACTGGTTATGGAGGAAATGGATCCAGTTTTAAAACACAGGTTAACAGTTTGGTTAAAAAATAGAAGAAAGCTTAGAACAAAACTTAAGGCTTAAGAAAACTGAAAGTGAGAAAAAGGAAGATGAGTGAGGTAGAGAGGCTAAAGCTTGATGTGGAGGGAGATAGGGAGTTTAGTGAGAGGAAGGGCAGAAGAAGAGGAGGCAAGTATGTTGACTGTTTGATGTAGGGATTATAAAAATTGTAGTTGATCAATGTAACTGATTAGCTGGAATGTTCGAGGATTAGAGAAAACGAGGAAGAGAGCACTAATCAAGGAAATGCCGAAGAAGGAGAAACCAGATGTTGTTCTGCTTCAAGAGACCAAGCTCTTGGCTTTTGATGATAGATGGGCCAGAGGTATTTGGAGGTCTAGGGGTATAGGTTGGGAAATGTCGCCATCATGGGGATCCTTTGGAGGATTGGTGGTACTATGGAAGAAGAATATATTGCAAGGTGTGGAGGTATGGGGAAGTTTATGTATCTCTCAAATTCCAACAAGAGGATGATGGATTTGAATGGGTGTTAACAAGCATTTACAAACCTAATGGGTATAGAGAGAGGAATGAGATGTGGAAAGAGCTAGGAGATATACAAGATTTGTGAGACGAAC